TAGTATATGGCAAGATTCTGGCAGGATAAAGTTAGGGGGAGGCTTGTTGTGGATCTCTACAGTGAAGGAAGGTCCTCGACGTCGTCATACCTCAGGTCTCCTTTGTTGGATTCAGCTCCATCATCTCATGTGGCCTCCACCTCGACAAATAAGGAAGTGAAAGAAAAGGGAGTATTTGGCATGTTCTCTTACTGTTGCTTTAGCGGCTCTTCTCTCATGTTTATATCTAGGCAGTGGCATTTGTTGCCTTATTTCTAAGCATTTCGTTTGGTGGCTTATTTCTAGGTGGAGTGTCCAACTTGTTGAATACACTCATGGACCTTGTTAGTTGAGGCTCTTGTTCATATACATGTAAGAATTCGAGCACTTCGGTGAATTGGCCCTTAAGTCCAACATCTGCTGTGTGGAAAGAGGTGTCTAATTGTACATCTCTCTAGGGTCTCCTCTTGCGAGAGTTGTTCGCCTCCATTTTCTCTCAGTCTCTAGCACCCTTGGTAAGTCGTTGATTTGGGAAGGCATATCCATAAGATGGGAAATTTGCATCGGGGGGTGCATCTCCATCCCTTGAAATTGCATTTGTTGTTGTAAAGCGTGTATCGAGACTTGATGGACATGTCGATCTACAATTCATCTCATGTGGGTGGTAATGGTCCTCACTTCCCTTGAGATACGAATGGCCACTTCGATGGGCCTCTTTGCAGGACATTTGCGGCAGGGCACTTCTTCTCCAGCATTATCATTTTGAGCCTATCCGCGTATGGCTCTTTTGGGGTTGATATCACCTTCATTTTCATCATCATTTCTTCAAGGACAATACCTTTTTCAAGGAGAAGTACTAAGCTCCTTTACAGAGTAGATAGGCGTTTAATAAGCATTTCCCTCATGGGATTCACATGTGATTAAAGTGTAGATTTCACAATTGACCTCCAAATTTGGTTGGAGACAAACACATCAATAGATCTCCCATCCACTCCACTCAAAATGTTTGTGCACTTGGAACGCGCACATAGACGGAAATGATGCTAAAAGGAGAGTAACCTTGGAGTTGGGTCTATATTGTAGAGAATTTTCAAAGTGATGATTACCCTGGCACTAAGTTTGAGCATTTATAAGCAAGAGAAATGAATGAAAGTTCTTTAGATACTTGATACGTGGCTTCATCCTAATGGCTTACTAGTTGAGTTTTATCACGTTAAATGTCACATTCTATGATCAACAGGTCTGTGCCCCTCACGATATCCTAGGTGGATGAAAGTATGTTCGCACTCAACTGACATTGCAGGTAACGTCACGTTAGTCACTTCTCACATGATTTCGTAAGTTAGAACCGTCTTTTTGTTCAAGGGCTGAGGTTCAGCATATACCTTTGCGGTCATGGAGATCCATATTATGTCGTTAAGAATTAGAATACAGTAATCGCTTTATAGAAGGAAAGTGACGACCCTACACAAGTTATATAGGATCGTCGGGAACGTTAACAAGACGTCGAGAAGAGCACTCATGTGATATTCTTGATTAGTTGGCGGACACATAACTTGCCACATAGGTTGA